GATTCATATTAAGCGTGTATGTTAATTATCCGTATATATATATATATATATATATATGCAGAACAGAGAGTGTTTTTCATTTTTATAAAACAAGAAAGCCATTAGAACAAGTTATCACTGTTTGCAAAACGAAATGTACGCTGTAAATACAAAGTGTTACTACATTTAGTATTTATGTAATTTAAAATGCAGCCTTTTCATTGTCGCTGAATGCAGAATAACATGTGCACTTTGTAAAAATACGCATACCTTGCATTGAAAATGAAGGAATTAATATCTGCGTGATGTAATTATAAATCACCAACACATAGTGAGTTTAGACTAGATTAAATAATAAGCAAGCGCTGGCCGACAGAATAATTTGAGCGGACAAATTAATCGTCAAGAAACATTATTGAAGAACTTTTTTTTTAATAGGATATTTTTTGATAAGAATTATTTAATAAAATATTTTTAAAAAAGGCTCTTCAAGAATGTTTCTTGAAGATTAATTTGTCCGCACACATTATTCTGTTGGCTCCCTTATTCTAGCACAATTATTACAGCTAATTATTATTTCAAGAACTGATTGATTGCTTGGCAAAAATATTTTCTAATTTACATTTGATTTAAGCACCTTATTTATTTGGCAAATGAAACTAGCAAGCTAGATAATTGAGAATTATCAAAAATTAGTGATCAGAAATAGTCTAGATTTTTTAAAATTCTTTTCAAATACAAAAACATGAAAATAAAATAAGCAAACAAAAGAAAGTTCATAATTCGATAATTACTAAGAGTTTCCGCTCATAGCAGGGAAACAGCAGTAGTAAGGAAAAGTTTAAAGCCAAAGAACAGTCAATATTACTTTTCTCTCTCAACCTCTCATCCGCGCCCTCCTCCATTCAGTTGTCATACACCTGTGAAACTTCTGTTTTTGCCAGGTATTAAACTGCCCCTCTCAATCAATACATCAAGAAAGAGAAGAATTTTCGGTCATTGACATGAAGAGGATTGGATGACAAATAAAATGACGACGCGCTGTGCGCTGCAAAAGAAATTTCATTTAAATGTTTACAAAGTTAGTATATTCCATTGCAGAGTAGACAGTACTTGTGCCCTTGCATAGTCTGCTTATATGCTAATTTTAAGTAATTGGAAATCTCTGCAAGCAAATATGTACCTGAAGTCAAGGGTAATTAATAATTCATTCCTTTCTTCATGCCACTAATGCTAATTATCAACTTTGATTTCTGATTTTTATCAGCTGAACAGCATGATATTCCTTTTTCAGTGCTTTTTTTTCAGTTTCATGCAAGTAATTACAAACTACAAATTTAAAAATTTCTAGGAATTCTTACAGTTTTATTAGAAAAACATCAATATTTCTACACCCTTTGAATAATGAATGCTATGCGGTATCTGATGGCAAATATCTTGTTAAAACTACCAGATGTTTCTAAAGTTTTTGTAATGAAGCCCTCACAACAAGTCCTGCATCAAAAAAAAACTGAAGTTTTGTTAGAGCAACAGATTACTGACTACTTGCAAAAAAAGTTTCAGCTGAATGAATTTTTTCAATTTTTTTCCCATGCAGGGCAATTTAATTTGACAAACATTATTTTCACTAATTCCTACACATAAAAACGCAAAACTATGCATGAACAGTTAGTAAAGAAAGAATAGAATAATGGAGCATTGAGAAATATTTATATTTCACGCAGTGATTTATTTTTAATGACTAATCTTATCAAATATAAGGATTATCAGTCCTGATTGTTAAAATTTAAAATCATTACCAATATTTCACTGTTCAGTATGTAAGGAAATGACAATATAGTGACATTACTCATCATTATATATCGATGAATTGAACTATTTTACGTTTTTATATAATCAACATTTGAATGAAATTTGACTCTAGATTTCCAATTCAATTTCTTTAGGAGAAGTCCAACTTCTGCTAACACGACAAAAGTTGTCAACTTATGGGTAATACTAATAAATCCTGATATACTTTTCTTCTTTTTGATTTTATTTAAACGGTTTTATGCTTGCATTCTAAAATCTGAAGTTTTATTCTATAAAATTTGCATTATATGTAAAAAAGATGTATGGGCGACAAAAATAAGTAGAAATAGGTATTTGCAAGACTAAAACATAAATTGCGACATCATGTATGTGCATCATGCTGAAAAATTACATTTATGCAGATAAAATGCACAGAAAAAAATTGAAAACAAGAATTATGAGAGGCCTTGAAAGAAGATGTTTCAAAAATAAAGTGACTGTCAGTAAAAACAAAAATTTGATGTTCAGTCAGGAAGTGAGGTAGTCAAAAATATTCCAAGAGACAGAAAAGCAAGAAATATAATAAACGTAAATTTACATTAAACAAATATCAAGAATGATTGAAGAAACTCGTGTATGCAGAACAACTCAATATGCCGATAAACAGCTAGTTTAGAGGATATAAAAATATGAAAAAATGCCAGCTAGATTATAGAATTAAAATTCTAAAGAAGATGATTTGCACCCCATTTTCTAAAGATCAGCAGAAAGATTGCTAATTATCATACTTTCAGGTAACTAACTATAAATATAGTCACTTTAAAAATAAGCATTATATTAATGTCAATTTTCTCAAGATGTTTTCTTAATATCATATACAGCATATATTGTAATATTATCAATCAAAAATAAATTTTAGAAGAATTGATAATTGACCGTGAGCCAACTAGGAAAGAAGATTGTTGACTTTTACAATAATCTGCTATACTTCTTATGTAGAAGACCTTCGAGGTTAGAAAATAAATTAATTTTAAAAATTTGATATGCAATACAATCCACAATAACTGCCTTGCAAACAACTGATCAGGAATTTAAATAAAGTAATCATTTTCAAATTTAGTGAATGCCCAGACAAATTTTGATTCAGTTATTATTCACACTATTTTTAACAGATTGCAGTAATACTTTTCCTAGCTTAGATTATTACACAGAGAATAATTCGAAAACATGCAATTTTCAATAAATATTCACTGGAGAGGAACAGCTTCATACTAATCAGTTGCTAATAACGAATCATCCATTGCCTGCACTCTTCAACCTGTACTGAATGCAAACTCATCAAAAGACCAAACTGCATTATTCTGAACATTTCTAATATAAATTATTCGACAAGAAGATGATCGGTTGTAGGTAAGGCAGTGCACATATACCAAATAGCAGCATATCACCATGACAACTGCTATCATTCTATTAGATTATCAGCCGACACATGAGTTTTGCTTTAATGATAAGATATTCAGAGAGTGCTATGCATGTTAATATGAACACAACTTGATGTGTTCCATTTCATGCAGTAATGGTGTATATATCTAATCTTCTATTTTTTGCTTTCATCCTTGCAGTTTTCATTAAAAATGTATGCTCGAAAAAATACGAAGGTCCCAAAAGTTTTTTCGAAGAATTTAACAACACATCGGTATAAAGCTATTTCAGCGTATTTCATATGATGACTACTATCTTTTTTTGTCATCTTGTCTCTTTTTACTGATTACCACTACTTTCGATAACAATGAAAACATTAAGATATGAACAAAAACAAAGAATAAATAAAAGGCAACATTTACGATATACCGAACGTTTATATACATCTTTCGCTTACAGGCACGGATTTTCTTAAATAAGCCATTATGATAAACAGCAAAACATTTATTAATCTATTCTCAAGTATCATAAACTTCTCAAACTGAATGTGCTACCGAGTTTATAACTGTGTAACTTAAAGGAAAGTACTCAGTAATGCTATCTTCTCAACGGTGAGCAATTGAGTTGGGAAGAATTTGCAGCTCGAAGAGGTACACCATCTTCTGACACCTCGACATTCTTCAATAGCTTTCAAGCTCAGTTCTCTCCCTTCAATCAACTGCTTTGCTCTTCTCTTCATAATTAGAAAGTTGGGAGTAGTTATCCGGATAAGGGTAGCATCTCTTACTTCTGTATTGTACATTATACACACTTAAACCTTATTACATGAAGGTTTGGTATGAAAATAAAAAATTAATCATATTTACACAGTGGATATTTTTATTTATTTGTTACAACAATATCGCAATTTTCAGATGAAATTTAGAACCTAATGGGAGATATGCAGTAAAAAGATATAATAAGCACTATGAATGGTGGACAAATGATTGTGTGATGTAATTAGCTTCAAATTTTGCATAAAAAATTCCAAGCTCCATTTAATTCTCGGTGCTTTCAACTTTATTATGCTAATAATCTTTAAATCTCAGTAATCTGACTGCTTAGCAATCATGATACGGTGAAAATTTTTTTTCTCAGACTGTCTTTTAGCACTCCTCTAATTCTTATATTACTTCTTTTAACGAGTATTACATTACTACATCAAAAGTGATGTATCCTGCTTTCTGGAATATTAGTATTTGCTAGTGTCGTTGCTCTTTTCTGCGAAATGCCAATCAATTCTCGACTTTAATTTAGTCTTTATTGACAGCAATAGCCATCTGTTCTCTATGAATAATGATTTTCTCTCAATAAAAAGTCATACTGTTTACTTCTATGAAATAAATCACAGCTGAAATTGTAATTTTGTTGCTTTTGTTTCTGCTGATTAATATTGTTCGCACCGATTATTTATATGAAATGAAATTCCACGTCAGCGTTAAATGTTGTCAACATGTCGTTAAACTGTGCGGGTGCTTTTTAGTAATGCTAAAATGTGCTCTATTCAAACGTGCTTGCTACTTTCTGCTGTCATGGTGACTATAGTATTCGCGGATAAATGTCTCCTATGTAACTTAGTCGCAGAGACATTGCAAGTGGTCAGTTTTTTATCTATTTTTTCATACCTGAATTTTGAAATGCATAATGTTAGTATCAGTAACAGGCAGTTTCTCATATTTAATAGATGACACTGTGTAAAATGATAAACACTGTTATACATTATTCAGTAGTTGCTGGCAAATTTGTCGACGATGTACGTTTGAAGTTGTATGATAATGTTTTGCACTATTGATATCATCGGTCATTACACACGTGTCATTTTTTTCCAGGGTTTGGATAAGACTAAAAATCAACATTTTGCTGGTGGAAATACTTATTGGGAGGAGAAAAAATTGGGAAAATTCATCACGAGGTAAGTAACAGTTTTATTGTGAATTAATTTTAAGCATTTTATTTTTTGACTTTGCAGTGTACTAAATTATGCCATGTAGTTTTTGTTGAGAGATTTCATAAATGTTTTGGAAAGATGTAGAGGCGAACTATGTTGAAAACTGACGATTTTAAAGTGAAGTACATGATAAATGTTCAAGGCAATTCACTTAAACAAGTTATATGAGGTTGCTGGTGAAAAATATTAGTGGGATACAATGCCGGAACACTTTTTGATCAATTAACTCGCCTATTAGCATTTGTTTCAAGCAAAAATTTTCTAAACACAGATCTTAAAATATTAAATTTTAACAGTTTATAGAGATACTCAGCACTAATTTTAGATTATTATTACTTCAGTGAAACGAGATTATTGGAAGCTATGGAATATGTGTGCAAAAAAAAGTACGTTCAAAATTGGGATAAGTACAAGGATATTAAAAATCTTGAATTTAAGGTAGGGAGCAGTTGGCATGCTTTTATCTTAAAAATGTTTTATCCTTTCATGTGACCGAAAATGCCATTTGTATTTAAATAGAATTTCTGTAGTGATTACTGTTGCAGTGTATGCAGTTAGTTGAAGAATCAGAGGATAATATTGAAAATTGGTATTTTCATAAGCAGAGTTCTGATCCCGATATCCTGCTATGGTTATGTCATGGAAAACTTCGATTATGTTGCAGTGAAGGACACTATGGTGCTGAGTGTAGTCCTTGCCCTGGTGTTAAACAGAACGTATCAGTTTGTTCTGATCATGGGTCTTGTCAGGTTTCTAATAAACTCTTGCAATTAGCTCTTGCAAAAGAAATTTGTTGATCGAATGCTTTGATGAAAAATTGAAGTTTTTCATAAAAGTATAAAATAATATAGCTTTATACGGAAAAAAGAACTATTTTAGGGTGATGGTTCTCGAGAAGGAACTGGTAAATGTGTTTGTCACAAAGGTTACGTTGGCTTTATGTGCAGCAACTGTGATGCAAACTACTACGCTGTTCCGAATATTTCTGTTTTCACTTGTAACGGTAATTTTTTTAAACTTAAAGATGATATTTTGATAAATCATACTATTTATGATTAAATAGATGTTCAATGTCAATCTTTTTGTTACCCTCATCTAGGTTTTCGTATCACCTTAAGATTCGGTTAACTGTTCGCATATGTTACATAATTTTCGCTGTGAAAAAAAGCTTATTCTAATTTCTCCCACTTAGTAAATTGGATGCATTTTATTTTTCAAAAGTATTGAGATAATGACAGCGTTATTTCTTGTGCAAAACATTCGCCGTGAAAATGTTATTTTTAGAATGTCATCAGTCATGTAAAGGTGGATGTTTTAATAGTGGACCGGAAAATTGTAAAGAGTGTCATACTGGCTGGATTATGAGTGATAATCATAAATGTGAAGGTTAGAGAACTTACTATTTGGAGTAGTACTGCACTCTCAAGTTTTTATTGAATTGACATTATCCTTTTCTGGAGTGTCAGCAGTGACTGCTAAATCAGTGTTGAATATTTACTTAAATTACTTCCTTTCATGTTTCAGACATTAATGAATGTGAAAGTGAAAATCGGTGTAGTGGTAAACATATGAAGTGTCATAATTTAGAAGGTTCTTACGAATGTGTATGTGAGGAAGGATTTGTTATAGACTCTAAGGGTAATTGCAAAATCAATGTCGAAGGTAATTTTTTCAAAATTTCCAGATATTTTTGTTTTGTTTTGGCTTATCTTTCATAAATGCTTTAAAAAATGATTGCTTCTTATTTTCTAGTTAATATATAAGCCAAGACGTAATTTTGTGAGGGCACGTGCTGGCTTTTATATATCATATGTCGCATGAGTCCACTTTGGATGTAATGTGGATATCAGAAATTTTTATCATTGAACTTTATGATGTGTTGCATACAGTATTTTGTTATATCAAAATCATTTTTTTCAATTTTGTTTATGAAATTATGTCCTTCATGAAGCACATAGAAGTTTAGAAACATATATTAACTTTGACATGAAAAATGGTAAAAAGCAGTATTTTACATTTTTTCGCTATACACTTTGCCTTCGGTTCTGACTATTTTACGTAGTGCTTTATGTGTAAGTTATACTTGATCACAGATATTCGGATTGTGATTATTGTGAAACCTTGTTTCTAAAAAAATTATATGAAGATTTTTTTGAATTATATGTAAAATGATAGGTCTATTTTATAAAATCATTTTGCTAATGCATTTCAGCGTCAGCTGAAGAAATGTGGATACCACCCAGCAGATTACTTCGTTCATTTTCGATTTCCAGCTTTTGTATATTAATTTCTCTGGTCATTTGGCGACGATCACTTAGTTTATCTATCTTTGCTACTATATGTGCACTTATTATATTGCTTATTGAGTTTTATTTTGATCACAGTTCATTCTTTGAACTTTCGCATTATTTACTTTAATTTTTGCTTTAATTTAAAAGCTTTTATAATGATTTTTGATCATGATATTCATTTGAAAATGTTTATTTTTATGATTTTTTTGTGCATTTAATGTATTTACTATATCTGCGTGTAGTATATTGTTTGTCCGTCACAGTATTTTTTACGGATGTGCAGAAGTCAGCACGTCGCAAAATAATTTTGGTAGGTTTCCCACCCATGACCATGTAAGTCGTTTATAATTAAGTCACTCTACAAAATTTTGTCAGAAAGCACCATTTAAAATTTCAAGATATGTCTCTGCCAGAAGTTGTTCTTCCCTTGACAATGTTTGACATATTTATGGTTTGATACGATTAATTTTTACAGCACATGACGTCATTAATGCTAACGAAGTGGAAGATGGAAGCCATAGTGGTTCGGAAAATTCTAACATTAACTCAATAACGAAAAAAGCTCAAAGTATGAGTGAAGATCCATCGAATGTACTAACAGTAAAAGAAGAAGAAAATCTTCCGGGAAGAGATCAAATTTCTAGGATAGATGAATTGTAAATCAGATATTTCGGAGACGAATTGTTCCCAGTTTGTCTTCAAGTAGTTCATGGAGATGCCACCACTTTAATATTCGTACATTATAAATATATTATGTTTTGGGTTCATTTTACTGAACCCTTAGCGAAAGTGATTTAGCTATTTTTATTGCATTGATGACGGGTAAAATTCGGATATTTATCATCGAAATGCTCAGAAATGTGATTAACCAATGTTCAGAAGACTTGAAGTTTTTTGTTGCATCACTGCGCTATGTATCTGAATTTAGAAATTAGCTTTTCTCGTTTTTTTAATTGTAATAAGTGGACTATCTGTTATTAAAATTCTTATTCACTGTCTCAAATGATTCCGCTCATCATATAAAATTGGATCACTCAACCATCGTTTTGTTTTGAAAAGGTAATTTTTGTAGAAATAATGAGAATTTCAGAACAGCCCTTTGTTCTTTAGATGTGTTCATTTTCCTATTTTTGATGGAGTTTGTTATTGAAGTGAATACGACTACTAAAGTTGTGCACATTCAGCAAATCATTTTTCTTCAAATTCCTAGTTTCAAATATGAAATTGAAAGTAAGAAAAATTGAAAAGTAATTGTTTGATTTGAAAAAGCATGGGCATGGCGTTATCTGAAGTTCTCGGTAGGAGAAAGACGATATTATGTTATTAAAGCACTGATATTGTAATGTCTGTGAAGTCAATATGAATTGATCTAGCTTTTATAAATAATAGATCAATTTAGTAGAAATGTAATCTGAGGTAGCGTTGTTGTCTGTCTCTCTGTATTGTGCTTTAGGAGATCTACAATTTGTCATTTGTTTCATGCTTTTCAGTAATTACTTATGCTTCCTCAGGAAATGCTGTTGTTACTTTTAGTGCTTGAGTAACAACTGAATATGCTTGTTTTATATCACAAATATCCGAACTTTTCTGTATGTGGATAAAGTAAATGGTCTATACTTTTCATATGTAGTTTTGTTATTGTCGTCCTATGTTCATAATAGTGAGCATAATAGTGCAAATAATGTGCAAGTTGAAATTGCTCGGACATAAATATTTTTCAATTTTGTTGGAAACGATTTAAGAGTGTCTAGATTCAGAATGTTTGCTGTGATCAGCTAGGCAATTGTTCATCACTTTTTTAAGTAGTTGCTTTGTCCTTTTAGTCAAATGCTTTCATATTTGACTGTATTTTCCTGTCATAAAAATCACTACTACTTGCTTTACTTATAGCTTTAACCTTCCTCATAGAGTTTGCTAGGAAAATTACGTAGGTTAATAGCACTTTGTATACTAATGACAACATCAGATCAACGTTATTCGTCAACTTATCATGCTTCCTCTCTAAGTCAGGAAACAAATGTCTGTCATGGTTTTAATCATGTTTGTTATCAGTGCAGTGAGATTTGTCTTTTCTAAATAATTTCTTTATTTTTTTTCATATTTTCTCCAGTTCATGAATAATATTATAAGGATATTATATGTTGGTTCAGAAGTTCTCAAATTTTCCAAAAGAAAAAATCGCTCTTCATTATTGCTTCATTTCTACATCTGTGTTTCCAAGTAGGCTATGTTTTTGAACAAGACCGACTTTTTTTTCATTCTCTTACAGTTTTTCATTCTTAGTAATGTTTTCCTGCAAAGATTCATTTCCTTCAACTGCTTTGTTGATCCATGTCTTCAGTACTAAATGATTTTCCTCTTCTCTAGCATGACACGTAAAAATTTGTTATTTAGCTTAGTCATATGCTTTCATACTTGTCTGTGTATTTTTCTGTCATGAAATTCACTCACTTTATAGCCTTAGCCTTCTCTATAAAGTTTGTTAGAGACATTTGTGCATTGCTTCTTTTCAAATATTGTATTTGAAAGTATATATACATTCATCTACAATTTCTGTTATGCATCTTTTAGTTACTGCGGTTGTTTTCAGTAAGTCTTGTTTTAACACCTGCATCAACAGATTTCTGGTTTTTATGTTAATATACAACTATATTTATGTGTCTATATATAGTATGCGGTGTGGTAAGCGTATAGCTGCTATTGGTTGACAAAATAATCTGTGGAAGTAAACAATATAATATAACTGAAAACTGTGTTCAGTAAAATATGTAGGTAGAGTAGATCAAGGTTCATTATACGGATGAAGAAATTTTTGTTGCAAATATATACATTATGAAGATATCAATGTTAGCATAAAAACGACCATAGTCAGCTACGAGAGTGGAATATATACATACTACTGAAGTTGGGACGAAATGAATATCTGACAATAATGAAGTTCAGAATGATCTAAGGAACTTGTTCAAGTCATATCTCTTTTTCTCTGCTTTGATCGGAATAGTGTAGTGCGGTTTGCAAATTATTCAAAAATTTACTTCATTTTCTAACATTACTTTCCTTTGTGTAAGTTAATTTTCTCTATTTTCATTATTTTTTATGCTTACATATCAAATCAATAAATTCATTTTTTTTTTTCGAGTAATGCATGAATTTTATCTACCATGCCGGTTACTTTGCAGTTACCTTTCCTCAGCTTATTAATTCATCTTTCATTCATCGACATAATAGCTTTACCATATTTATGAAAGCTTAAAATCTGTGGCATATAATTTTATACTCAATACACTTTATTTTAAATTTCAAACATATTAGCCACTGTAAATTATGAAAGCAAAATTACCAGTTATTTACAGCAGAAGAGATCAATGATTATAGTTTGATTTCTTCTGTTGTCAATAACTGGTAATTTGCTTTCATAATTTACATTAACCAATGTTTTAAAATTGTCTTACATTTCTGTATCGCAGCCACATTGATGAGTCTGTCATAGCTGATTACTTCATATCTGGTACAGCTTTCCATGACGAATTTTCTTTTCTCTTTTGCTATATAGGAGCATTTTCTGGGCTGCTGTCAGGTTTTCGGCTGTTAGATTGTCTGCGAGGTGTATTTAGTCTGAAGGTATCGTACAATCATTATGGTTAATGCCATAATTTTTGTGGTTTAGTTCTTCTTGTTGCGCTTTCTTAATCATTCCAAAGCAGAGCAATGTAAAATTTTTGAGTTTTTAAGGTTTTCTTCAAAACTGAATCATTTTTTTGAGGATTTCCAGTTTTACTTTTTTTGTAGTTAATTATTATTTTGAGGACTTCTAATTCTTTTTTCATTCAAAGTAATATTTTCTGCATCAATCAAGGTCAAAAATATGGTCATAGCTGGTGCTTTTTTGAAAATTTCTGGATGACTGGATAATGAACGAAAGATCAGTTTGATTTAGATGGAGCAATTAATTAGATCAGAACTCGAATCATCCAAAAGTAGCAGTGGTAAACTTTCTTGAAGCTTGTAAAGTGGTATGTAGTTTGAGAGCTGATTTAAAAAAAGGCTATGTTTACATGAGCTGAAGATGTAAGTGAAAGTTTCGCAAATGGAGTGAAAGCTTCGCAAATGGATTATTCCATATCATATCATGTTAGAAACAGACTTCTTTATTTTTCAAAATATTTGAAGTGAGATCATTGGAAACTCTCAAAGCGGTTGTCTCTCTATCTTTTATTTCACTTCAAGCGTGTGTTTAAGTTTTTTAAATCGTAATTATACAATTATTGTTCATTCAAATAATTTTTTGTGATAAATTCATTAATCGATTTCTTCTTGCTTTCATTTCATATCTGTAATCGAAATGTACTCACCATCTTTCATCAATTACGTTCTGCTTTTTTCTTCATCTATGTGCTATTTATTTTCTGCTTTCTCGCGATCTTTGTTGTCTTTCTTGGGTTTTGTTGATCCCGTATTGTCTGTATCTCTCAGACGAACATTTACCATGTGCAAATTCGTATCTTTAAAAAGATATTGAACTCATCAGGAATTTCCTTTCCCATAAATTTTACTCTCATCAGATGTGACCTCAAAATTCTTCTGCATTCTTTTCTCAAAGAATTGAGATTTGAATCCAAATATAGTTGTATAGATTCTGCTGATTCTTTCAGCTTCCTCGTTTGCAGTAATTTTATACTAAATGGTAACATTTCAAATTTTTAGCCAACATCAAATGAGATATTTGAGGTTATAGAGTTTAGAAAAAATGAGTTTGGCATACTACATATATCACGAAAGGATGACATAATTGAAATTTGGTTATGTATTGTTAATACGATAAAAAATTTCATGTTTTGCATATTTGGGGATGATGGGATTATTTTTGTCATTGCTACTTGCATTTTGCTTTTAGCATACTTCTCTTCATTGTATGGTATCGGTTTCGTGATCATTTTTTAAAATATGTCAGAAAATGACTGTTTTTTTAATACACGCAGTTTGTCGCCCTTTTCATGCTCACTTTTTAAAAATTATTGCTGCGTTTGAAAAGCTAAATTTCACACTTTTTACTTACAACCGCCTCTGCAACTCTTTTTCTACATTTTATAGATGCTCTTATGTTCATAGTATTTACAGAACATATTTGTCTTGCTAAATTAAAGATGTGATGAACTGAGTCGTGTTTATTTTTAGAAATTGAGAAAGCTTCCAATTAAATTTAACTCATAAAATAATTATGAGCACTTCATTGAATACTATTTGAATTTTAAGTCATTTTCATTTTGATAATTCGTGAAAAATCCAAAGCTAGCGAATAATTGAATTGGAGATTTTTCGTAAGTTATGATATTATGGAAAATTTTTAGAATAATTGATGTTTTAAACTGTTTTTTAGACTTCTTGAATGACGGATTTATTTATTTATTTATGTTGAGCAGTGGACGCTGCTCATAGTTACAGACAAGCGAAATGCAAGATATTACAATAATTTGATAGACTTCAGTTCACTCATTTGACTTGCAAAGAGTTAAAAATTCTTTTGACCATCAAATTTCAAGATTATTTCAGGTTTAGCAAAAATCTACCTATGTTCCTTGTCCACTTTTCTGAATCAAACTTCTCACTAAAAGTTTACATCAACTTTTCATAACTTCATTTTCGTAATTTATGGCGTCACATGTTGTATAATTCTTATGTGGAAATGACTTATCCCAGCTATCGGCATCGTATTTTAGGAGTGTACAAGAGCATAGGAGGCGGTATTGTTCGCTTTTACACAAGACATGTTATACCAGCTACCAGATGACGCTCCTTCTCCACGAGTTTGTGTAATTGTGAAAAATAATCCTGAACAAGTAATTACTTTCTCGTAATTATTATGACCTCAAAGTGGTGGTGGTATGTTTTTCTACCAATTTAGCACTTCTAAGCACAAAAAATTTGGAATTGAGAAACTTTAACTTTGTGAAATTAACTAGATGGGAATATGTATGTTAAAATTTTTAGAATCAAAACTCTTGAAACTTGAGCGCGTCAAAAATCTTATTAAATGTAGTGCAATAAACTGCTGTGGTTCAAATAGAATTGTAAAATGTTTGCAAAGAATCGCATCAATACTTGAATTTTGTGGGAACTTTGGTAAGAGACTGATAACATTATTAATTGGTGCAGTAATTTTTAGGAATATGGTTACAACTTGCACGCTGAAAAAGGAAAACCACAATTTATCGGTACTGTAGATTCAGGTAGCCCTGCTGATTGTGGCGGACTACAACCAGGAGATAGAATTTTTGCTGTCAACGGTCATAGTATCGTTGGACTAAATCATAGACAAGTATATTTTTCTTCTTGATTGTTGTGTCTACTAATATTTTAACACTATTAATCATGATATTGACTCTTGCAGTTACTCTTAAAGAGAGAGTATAAGCTGCATGAGGTAAAAATAAAAATCCTGCGATATGATTGACCTGGAATTTCTCTGATAACGGGATAAAATAAAAGGTTTATGCTAATTGCCCTGAGTTGAAGTAGTAATTTTATATGTCAGATCATGAAAGTGAAGTACTATCAATATTCATTGCTAGAAAAGAATTGTATGCGTAGAAAAATATCTTCTTTAACACAAATTCATTTTAAGATCAAAACGTTTCTATTAAATTCTCTTTTTAATTTTACTGACCTTATTCATTTCCGTTCATACTCCATTGTATCGTCGTATTATTTTTATGTTAAATTCTAAGTTCTTTTTACTATTTAATTTTCAAATGAATAGCAGATCCTTCCATTGTTTCTGAAATTTGGTATTATATTGGTGAAATTTAACCTTTAAGTAGTTTCACCACTTCATTCTTTGTAGCAAAAATTCATAAATTTTCATTTAAAAAAATTATTTAAACTTTATTTACTTGGCATGCCCCATTCTTAGTGGTGGAATGTTTGGTTCGATATTGCTTCATTATAATCTAATGAATGCTATTATAATTTTATCAGATTTTTAGTCTACATTATAAACTTGATTATAAAGTAATAGGACCTTTTGTAATGAATTCAAATTATTATCATTGTCACTTTGCCTGCAAGAAATGAAAAAGTATTTGAAGATAACTGAGCAGATAGTAGTATAGCTAGTATTGTTAACCGAATGAGAGCCGGAATGAATGAATGAATGGTGTTAACCGAAAGAGTGCGTAGTCCTATCCTCAAAACATGAACATTTGAGACTTGTCTTTGCTGTCATTCATGTTGTTTACATTTTTGTAAATCTGTTTGCATTTGCAGTCTTTAAGATTTATCAAGAAAAGGAGGTGCGAAAAATAATAAATATAATCAAGTAATTTAATTCGGAAATAAAATTATGAAGTAGTGTAATCACCGTGATGACCTCAATGCGAGGATTTTATACGTCTTCAACTTTATTATAGACAATTTTGAACTTATCGTTTTTTCATCACAGAAATTTTAAAATTATTAAGCTCAATATATCTTAAAGGCTTCATATTTTGTTGACAATTAAGATGGTATATATTCGCAATTACCTTACTTCATGCTTAAGGTGTTTCTTACCTTAAAAGAAATCAACTTAAACAGTTACTCTCTTTCTAGTAAATTTAACAACTTATGTCTGAGAAGGCGATTTAAGACTGAAGTCTCAAGCCATCCACTTCTGCAAATTAGACTGAATGAAGAATGCAGGAATCCATGATATTTTTGAAGAATGTACTCCGCTTGCTTTAATGCAGATAGGATAAAATCCATAAACCCTGACCAATGTAAGAGAGGTGATTAAACTTTGGCCTATTTGTAAGAAACGGGAATTCAGTTCGTGGTTGTGAAATGACTAATCAGTGGTGTACATTAATTCATCTCATCAAATTATCATTTACTTATGAATTTGTGAGCATGTGAATCATTAACGTTACACAACTTATGTTTGTAGGTGGTTCAAAGAATTAAAGAAAATCCTTTGCAATGCGAACTTCTTGTGATATCAGAAGAAGGCGCAGAATGGTATGAGAAACACAACATCCCTATAACACTCTCGTTACCGAATATTATATGGATATCTCAAAATAAAAAGGTTAGTGATTTAGTATTATTGTTACTGATGGAGAAATCTATTATTTTTGAAGGTTGTCTAACAAAATTTAGAATGATTTTTTAGTTCAGTGTGTTCAACACTAATGAATAAATTTAATTTTTAAGTTATAGAGAAGTATAAGGAATAACTAGTGGAAGTAAACTGTTAACACAGATGCTTTTGCTTGATGTTGGTATAAAATTTATAGGAAGATTTTGGTCCTGTGGCAAAAACTTAAGACATTTAAATAAAAATGCACACTGATGAATATCCTGTTTACGTAACGCAGAGTGAAAAACGCTGTTACTGCATTTATTTATGTATTCTACTTAGTGATTGATCATTAATTTTGTTTAAATTGTTACAATAAAGTTGTAGTAGATTCGTAATGACAGTCTGGCACTGTGTGTTCACTTTAGTGTTTCCTAGACCTTCGGAGACTGGTAGACCCTGTTAGCGTTTCTTTTACTGGTTTACCTGTGGTCAATATGATAATGGACATATGAAATAACTTTTCGCTTCTCATTAACTTATGAAAAATCTAGGGAAGGGTAGAGAAACTGCATTGAAAGAGTGAAATCAGAAATCGAGCAGTCTACACGTTGTATCCTAGTTTTCGTTTTTTACAACATCTGTCTCCTTAGTATATAATATTAGTTAGGTTTTGCTTTTTTCCTCATCACTGACTTTTTCTGCTCATTCCTACGTCTTTGGTGTTGTCAATAGGCTGTCATAATTTTCTCCTATCCACTGTTAATTTATTGTTTACCGAAGTTAAACTTCAGTGCAAAAGTGGTTCTAATACCTAACTTAGGTTTACTCCATAAATTATTTGCGAAATGTATTTCTTGAATGGTCGAAGTGCGAAATAAGATTAGATTAGAGTTCACGAAAATGAAAATTGATAGCCTCTATAACCTTTGTTATTATTGGAAACGACCTTTTTGGATATTTTGCACAAAGTTTCAGATTTATTATTTATGGTGGTGAAGAAACTAATATTCAATGTTATGGAGAGAGATGTAAAAAAATTAAACAGATGCATCCTCAGCAAGTTGTCAATTGAATTTTGGAGACATGTTTACTTTGAATTGGCTCCGCTCTCATCTTATCAATTTCAAACTTGGGTAGTAAACTGCATCAGTGAAATGCTTTGGTGTGATAGTGCTTTCTTCTTGCTGAAGTGATAGCGTTCACCGTAATTACCAAAGATCATTATGGATTGTTCAAATTGCTCTATTCTAGCGGTCAACTCATTTGTCTTCTGCAAAATATTGAAAGAATGTCACTGGATAACATTTTCAAGATGGCAATAATATTTTTGCATTTTTTAGAACCTTTTGTTAGTTTTTGCGGGTCATTTGTTTCACGGCGTTCAGGAAAGCTTCTCATTCATTTAATAAAAAAGATCATAACTTTTACAATGATAAGTCATTTTATGTACGAAAGTAGCAAATATTTGCCGATTTACTTAGGTCACTCATGTTTGTTCTCTGATTACAAACGTGAATCGAATCCGTGCATTAGACTTTTCTCAAAATATACCATTCCTTAGCAGTTCTTTTATTTTTAGCCCATCAGCTAATTTTTAGTTGCGTTTCTTTGTCTTTACACCCGCTAGTTATTACTATAGTAGGCTGGAACAAGCCATATATTTGAAGAAAAATTCCAAACTTTATTATTTGTTTTTTTCACTAAGCTATTGCTCTGGCAGAAGTTGGACGACGTTTTCGATCATGTAACATTAATCGAGTTAAGTCTCAGTTAAGGAATAGCTAAGATTTTTATTGAATCATTTCTTTAAAGCATAAATTCTACTGCATTCTATTTCATATAATGCTAATATTATCCATCTTTTTTCCTTTAATTTTCCAAATAGTTTCAATGTTTTGCTAGCAATGTACTCCATTACTTCTTTGTTTATTCTAATACTTTGTTCATACTTTCATAAAATGCTGCTATTCTGTGGTATATTTACTTATCAATTTCAATTTTGATTCCTTCAGCTTTTGTGCATTTACTAGTTGAATAAAAGTACATTCATTAATTTTCGATTATAAAGAAACTGATGCTAAAGAGCTTAAATATTTTCATGTTTTATTTCATTTTTTCACTGGGTCGAACTTGAAACTACTTGAGAAGCAAGAAAATTTGCGTGACAACGATTATTAGAACATTCGCAAATAGGTTTCTGTATTTTGGAGGTATAAAATCTCATCGCTCATATCACGTGCTACAAATCATCAACTCATAATGTAATTGCTGCGACATGTGCATCCTTGAATGAATGTACATCTTCAGTTCATCACCTCAAACCTCAATAAACTTCTATCTTTTATAAATTTTTTCTTAATATTTTTTTATTGTTTGTTGTAGAGATATGCTCAAATTTCTTAATCTTTGTTACTACTTCACACATAAATGTTAAACATGTGAATGTCGGCATCAACCAACTCTTTTGCTATTACTGGAAGCACTGGTGTAGAAAATGGTGATAGTTTCCAATATCAGGCTTCTTACTGTATTGTAAGGTAGTAAATGTGATGAGATACGATGCCAAGAGAGTAATTGATGGATAAGATTACTGATGACTGCAGCAATTGCATTTCTGTCCTAAATAAGTGTAGAATGTAATAATCAGTGTTTGTTTATTAGTTTTTAAATTTCACTTTAAGCAATCATGACATATCATTGCAAGCATCAGTATACACATACAGACATGCACATGCATACATTCACAAACACAAACGCAAACACAAACGCAAACACAAACGCAAACACAAACGTGCGCATACACATTGGATTGTTCTGGAAGAAAATGAAAGAAGGTGGCGTTAATTCTTTGCTGTCTTTATTGCTTGCATTATGAAGTCAACGTTTTTATTGATTACGCTCCTCCGACCATTTCATACGGCGTTTTAGTGATTTGTTTAGTAATTACATTCATAATACTGCTGTAATCAAGTTGCATTTGTGAATGTAGAATATTACCAGCTTTAGCTTTCTTAAGATTTGCTTTGTTTACTGTTTGATAGAAAGTTTTTATAAGACGTGTGCATTCGTCTTAACTGCTTCCTAGCATTAAAGTATGCTTTTGCAAAGTGCCATTTGAGTAAGAAGCATAGAGATTTCATTTTTGTAAACGTTGCTCATGTTTAGTATCTGCATATATTTCAAAGATCTCACAACTTTTCATCACATTTTGTCTACTTACTCATTGCTATATATTATAGTCAGGCAACACTTTTTTTTTTTAATTTCTGCAAATTTTCAAAGTTTTTGACATGAACATTATTGTCTGAACAAAACCGATGAAAGTGTTTTTAGGATTAAAATGTCATTTGTGATTATGTAGTATTTTGTACTTGATTCAAAATAAGTTGTTATATTTTTATTTCATAAAAGTTTAAGAAATAAGTTCTTTGATCATTCATATGTCATTTTTACTCTGTACTTTTTTATATTTGACTTAACGGAATCAAAAAGTTTAACATGCACTAAGATTTGATCACGTTTTACTGAGTTATTTTAATGAGCATCAGATATTTGTTTTTGATATGTTTTCCTTATAACATGAGAAGCTTGTTTTCTTTATTATTGTTTACAAGCCTAACACGTTTTGGTATATTAGCAGTGCTACATTTTTATTTTATAAAGAAGTCATTGAATAATCAGACTTAGGTGTGGCTGGCTGTTTATTATTACTATATTGTACTACAAGTTCTTTCACCTGAAAATAAGTACCACATTTCAAAACTATTGCTTTCAGAAATTTTGCTTTCTTAGTCTTCCTTGTTCCAAATACTTGCTATTTGATTTCCCATAGAGTTATATGACACTTAATTTTACTCATTTATCAATTTTATTTTTAGTCGTAAATTATGCTTTGTATTTCCAATTCTCGCAATGCTAAGAATGTACCACAATACATAAATGAACATGACTGAAATAGAAACTGGAATTGTAATACCTTAGACAAATTCGTAAAGATGCCAGAAATTTTGAAAACAACGCATCAATTCCATTCTCTCTAGTATCTATCTCTAAGTATTTAGATTTTTTATGTTATAAGAAATATAACTTTAAACTGCTTGAATTTTCAGAACTTTTAACCACAATATCTATTGCGTAAGTCTGCTGAGAGCTTGTTTCAGTCAACCATGTAAACTGAAAATGCTAGTTCACAAAGCGGAATCTGATGAATTACGTTGAAATTCTCGCTTGTTCAAAAAATATTTCAATAGCTACGATATTTGATTTAAAAATTTTTTTAAATATTCTCATTTACATATAAAAAATTAGATATTTTCAAATTAACATATTTGCACTAAAATAAATTAGATGATTTTGATAGTAGCTGACTGCACTGGTTATTTTTCTTTATCAAGTAGTTCAAGTGGTGGTATCAAATATTAAAGAAATATATATCATGGGTAACTTTTTGAGTAAAAGGCTTCAAAATATAGAAGAAAAGCAGACGAAGAAATCAAACGTAAGAATTACTGGTTGTTTATGCGAGATTTATGTAATTTTGTTTGTAGAATTTGATTCGATCCCACTTTAAGTTCGTTATTTCATTATTGTGACTACTGATAGTTGTCAATATGACCATTTATGCTTTAAATCATGTAAATTTTTGGTTAAAATTATAGTTTTAGTTTTCTTCTTAAATTGAGAAGTATTATTTGTCTTTTAAATGTATTCACTTGCTTTTGGTTTTAGTGAATGATGTGATTAATTGATGAAAATGGTATTCGAAATATTTTTGTTATAATATATTGATGTACCTTTTCAGGGTGATAAATCAAATTACAAGTTAACGAACAAAGCATCAGTTTTGGCAATGACAAACATTCCGAAGCCACGGTTATGCCGACTGGTTTGTTTTTAGGAATGGATTTTTGTTTTAAAGTTAGTTTAATTGAGATTGATGAGTACGAACTCTTCGAAAATATAAAATATGACAGATACAGGATATGATTGCACCTAATTTGGATGCTAAATTGAAAACCACAAAGCTACCAAAACATTCCAGCTTGAAGGAAGTAGTAGTTTTGTATCATAAAGATCTGTGGTTGTGAGAGATGTTTTGATTGTTGACAAGTATTGCGAAAATCTCGAAGTTTTTCTCTTCGATTTCCCAATTTTTTTCTGATTCCATTATTTCGCGTCCTGATTCAGTACATTTTGATTATTCTGAATCTAGCAACTGCTATTATTCATTAGTTTTTTACTTTGCTCTGTGATATATTTTTTTACAAATGTTTTTCAGTTGTAGAGTAGGTATTAAGAAGTCTTCACCACTCCAAGGAAGTCTTTAGTTGAAGCTCATGTTTTATCAAATATAAATAATGGGACGAATATTATAAATCATTCAAAATTAAAGTGTACATGTTATCATCAAACTGTTTTTAGATTTGAAATACTTAAAAAGTATACCTTGTATGAATCTAAAATATTTGAAAATTTATATCATGTGTGGAAATTATGTGTTGTTATGTTTGAGTTATTTTAACATCTTTCTGCTTCGGACTGGCTGATCAAATAATTCAAGCCAACATCTTTCAGCGCAAACATGATCCAACAGAGGAATTTGGATTTAATTTACATGCTGAGAAGAACCGAGGTCATTTTGTTGGAGCTGTTGATAAAGATGGCATTGGTGAACGAGCAGGTTTACAAATGGGGCAGCGAATTGTCGGTGTTAACGGTCAACTTATCTATCCGTGCACGGCGCACAAGGCAATAGATTTTTTTGAACAGCTATTTTGCTCAGACCAATGCACTTCAATTTTTTGCAGTCTTGTTTTTTACCGTATTCAAAACATTTAAGCATCTAAACCTTTTGTGATACGTAAATTATATGATGGGAGAATGCATTCTTAAATAAACCGTTTTGGATATGTGTATAGAATTGCTTGAGATGATATTACAGGAGGTTGTTTCCTTAATTAAGAAAAATCCATTGCGTACGGAATTATTGGTTGTATCAGAAGATGTTGATCAGTGGTACAATGAGAATCATATGGAATATTCATTTGATCGAGTTGATTTCCATAATTTCGAGAGTAGCTCGTCCGTAAGACTTTCGTGTTCACTTTTTTGATGAGACGTCGGAGTCTTTTTTTTGATAAATGAGCATAACCAAAAGGTTTTTGTAATAACAAAAATTAAAAAGAATGTTTGCGATGGCTGAACCATCACTAATATTGTTTCTTATTTTTGTCTAAGTAACTCACACTTTTATGGGTTTGCTTCATGGGGTCGTTCAAAAGCCTGGGAAGTCATATTTTTAACAAAATTATTTTCAAATATGTACTGTGATCAATACAATTCTGAAAATAATTTATCCTAATGTGAATCAGAATTTGTTACCAATTTTCAAATGCAAAAGTAATGATTTTTCTGGACAGCAATTTAAAAATGTCGATAATACGCATTTTATTATAAATTTCAATAATTTGCAGTCCAGTATATTTTCAGCCAACGAATGAATTAACGAAGATTCATGAACAACAGTCAGCTCATTCCAATGTAAGCTCATTCAGATTATGCATTTTGTAATACAGAGCAGTAATGCCTTGGTACTATTATGAAATTACTATTTTCATGTCTATAACTGATTTGTTTTTGTGATACTAATTGCACGTTCTAATTATCACGCGGAATCTAAGTTTTTTTCTGCAAGTTTTGTTTGTCGCCTGATTCACTTTTCTTTTCGTTCTAATTTTATTTCTTTTTTTGTTTTTGTTCAGACCGTAGAACAGCAAAGTCTAGAAGCTTTGGAAGACAGTTATCGAGATTTATTGGATACAGTGAGTGAAACTGACAAGAATATAGAGAAAACGGCAGGGGATGGGAGATATGGATTGCAAGGAGACTGTGAATCTTCGGATGATATTCAATCAGAATCTGCAAATAATGGCAACATGCTAAATAAAGTAAAAATTGTGGGACATTAAGAAAAATTCTGCTCTTATATATCAGCTAAAACTCAGAAGTTTGGTTCCCCTTTAAAACTATGATTCTTGAGTGACTTAACTGGAGGATAGTGAGTTCCTGTATAGTTTTGATATTGTGCACAGTTTTGATAGAAGTGATACTTTTCATTCTTTTATTTACTAATTTGGATGCGCGAATATGAATATGATACTGGACTGTGCAACAATTAAATCATCAAATATTTAAATTTTGAAAAGTTTTTAAATTTTGAAAAGCACTACTGGTTTTGATAGATTGTTAGGAGAGAGTTCTATTTTTTTTGTTTCTTTTTTTCTGAAGAAAAATGGTTGCTCGTAATGTAAATTTGTTTTTTGCTTTGTTAAACATAGAAATTTCAGTTTTGTATAGAAATAACTTTGCGTTTGAGTAATATAATAGTTATGTTATGCAAAAATTATTTTAATTCTGTAATTTAGCTCTTCGTAATACTATCTCAGAAAAACTTGCTTAGAATTAAATCTTTGGTGTTTGTTTTGCTGAAATCATTTTGCACCAGTTTTCTCTCCCAATTAAAAAGAAAACATGAAATTTTAAAGAGTGGAAGCGTATCTTATTAATCTATTCTCTGATCTTAAATTTACCGTACATGACATTATTTCCTATATTTTTCCACGAATAGCTACTAAGAAATTGCTTAGATTTTTTGAAATACTTACATTAAAATTGCACGATAAGGTTCTGACAAGAAATGATGCCTATAAGTATTGATTTTTGTAGTAGTTCTGTAAATTTGATATCAGGATAGTTGCGCTATAGTAAATTTTTAAGTGAGCAACATTTTAATGGCATGATTGTAAAAAACATGCTGTTTAATGAATGCATCTTTAGAAGAATGCTTACTCGAATTCAGCAAAGGTTATGGCTTCAGTTGCTCCCTTAAAACAAGAAGCAAATAATTTCGATACTAAAATGCTTGAAGGGAACGATGTGATGGATAAAAGCGGTATGTGAAATTTCTAGAATTTCATCGTATGTATAAATGATAGTTTCGGTTTGGAAGTGGGCAGTAGGTCAGATATCGACTGATCTTGTAAGATAAATTAGTAGTTCGTTGTTAGTGAACATTATCAATTAAATTATTTCATGTGTTTACTTATAAAGAGCTTATAAAAGATCTGAAAGCTGAACTTTATTTAGACTAATTATGTCAAGTGCTTAGTGTGGATTATTCTTTGTATCGACTTAATTGTTTATAAAAATGTCTTTAAATGACTGTTTTTGTTTTAGGTTTAATATTTTGAAGTCAGCTTTCGAATACTTGTTTTACTGACAGTTCGGAAAGTTTCTCTGTTTCAGGAGTGCCTGATATATTCAAGCTTAGTGCTGGTGAAGCTCGCAGTCGGTTAGTAAATCGTAAAAAAGATCCTAGGCGTGATAGCCAGATGAGCTTGAAAGAAAAATATCAACTAGTTTCCAATATGTAATTCCATAATTTTTTATTTTCTCCAACCTGTCAAGGTTGCTCGATTATGTTTCTGAAAATAAAAATTATCCAGTCTACAACTCTTTACAGAATACCTTCTTATTTTATGCGTTAGATATTTACAGTTCCACCACGTTTTTGCCGTTGTAATCAGGATTTTTGCTAACAGCGTTTGTTCATGCTTTCACTTTAATTTCATACTACCTTTTCATTGTTATCGAGCTTGAAGTCCAAACCTTCTCTACAGCTCACACAACTGCTCTCAGTTTGCTATTAAATGCTTTACAATAGAAAAAAAAGTTGTGTTTTGGCTTCCTTATAGTCAGGCTGTCTAAAATTTATATATTTTTGGTGAGGATACGTGTTGAACCATTAAGCGTAGAAGTCTGATTGATGAAACATATAAGTTTCAAAACCAGTTTCTGCGTATTGCCATTACATTGCCTTATGATTCCATATTAGTCGTAATTTAAAAAAATATTTTCAGCTTCATTGTGGAAAAATTTTCATTGTTTTATTATAGAGGCGTGTTCAAGTATTTTTCAATCATACCAATAAATAAATTGTTTTTAATGCACAATTTTACTCTTCTACGCATGGAGTTTTGATGTTTGCGTTTTAAATCTTGCTGTTGATGTTGCTACCTTCTTAATTTTTTTGTGATAAAATATTTTTATAAAGCTGGAAAAGCTAGCTACACAATGATTTCTTCGTTGAAAGATAATAGTGGGAGGAAGTGAAAGTTTATTACTTTAGCAAACGGGCCGATTAGTTTCTTGAGGGACAAATTAAGTTTGCAGTAGTAAAAAAAGGAATGAAAAGTGCTCCGAATCATCGAGTAAAAATGTGAGTAGAAATATTTGAAAAGTATTTGGTATAACACTGAAGAGAGAAAAAAGTAATATACTTTTTGATTTACCTACTATGAGAATGTCATCTTCAGAAAAGTTCTCATTTATACAGAGAGCATGACGGAGTAAGATTTTAAGCTCTAAGTAACTCGAAATTGCCATGAGTGTTGCAGAGTGAAAGAACTTGTGCTAAATGATCCTAAATTCGCAGGGAAATTGCAAAATACAATTAAATAAAAACTACAGAATTAATTGGTTAAATATGTGTATATATAATATAAAAATGTATGTATATATAATATATATATA